ACCCCAAAGACAGGATGGTACAGAGCTGCACTTGGGAGCGCCCTCAGATTGGGGCTGGCCCTGACCCTCCCTTCCCGGGCAGCCAGGGGCCTAAGGCAGCTGAGACCCAAGCCCTGTTGGGGGGTGTGCTGAGGCCCTTTCCCTTGTTAAGTTCCTGCTGTGTGCCACCCACACTGTACTGGGCACTGGGGATGTAGGGACAAAAAAAATGAGTGAGCCTCTCCCCTTGAGGCCATCCTACTGGCACCAAACAGCCCGTACACAAATAAGGAAATATGAGATCCACAGATGAGGACAAATGGAAGATTTACCAGTGTTTTGGAGAGCCTGGTAAGGGCACTGACTCGAATTGGGGAAACCAGGAGAGGCCTTTTGTAGGAGGGGACCCCTCAGGGATCCCAGGAGGTAGAAGGGAGAAGAAAAAGTAAGAAGGAGCAAGGAGGCCAGCTGGGCTAGATCTAAGGGTGCTTGAGGGAGAGCATAATCGTGACTATTAGCTGCCCCTTAGAGCATGCTGCATATCCATTGAATCATTTAATCTTCACAACAACCTTGTGGGAGTGAGTGCTACTATTATGCTCATTTTACAGAAGAAACAGAGGTCATGAGAGGTGAGGTGACTCACCCAGGATCATGGAGCTGATAAGATTAAGGCAGGATTAGAACTCAGGGCCAAACCCAGTGCTCAATCTGCTACACTCAGGATCAGGGATTTAGAGCAGGAATGGCTCTCAAAGACCTTTGAATACTATCCCTTCATTTACAGAGGAGAAAACTGAGGCCTGGAGTGGCTCCAAGGCTGCAGTGAGTGGCTGAGTAGCAATTTGAACTCGGGGCTTCCTGACTCCAAATCCAGATTTCCTGAGTTTAATCACGTATCTATTTTGGCACGTGTATGTTGTTTCCTCCCAGTAGAATGTGGGCCTCCTCCAGGGAGGGACTGTCTTTTTCTGGTCCAAGCATATGCTGGGCAGGCGACCAATAGGTGTGCAGGACTTTCAGTGTCGGACAGAGGCTTTGGATTGACAGGAGAGGCAGCAGGGAGCCAGGGGAAGTGACCTGGTCACACCCCCGAGGCTCTACCGACAGCAAAAAGGCTCCGCTGGGTGCTTTCTCCTCCGGCCTTTCTGAGAGGTGGCTTGGGATGCTGGGGCCCAGCCGGGGCCCTTGTGAGCGCATGGGGAGAGTCCTCCTCACTTGAGAGGTCTTCTATCCCCCGACCCCTGGGACCCCAAGCAGTGCTGTGTCCAGGATGCCCCTGGCCTCTGCTGCTCAGCTCTGGGGAAAGGAAGCCGATGGGAGATCGAGCCCTTTGCTCTTTGTCCTACTTAGTGGGGTGAAGGGGACACGGAGCCCGGTTCTGCCCACCTGCTTGGGGCCCCAGTCACACATTTAGAGTCAGGGCTAGAAAGCCTGTATCTCCCCATCTGTCTTCATCCCACGGCCTGAGGAGCACAGGGGTCTAGTGTTGCTGTCAATGAGACCAGCCCTGAACTTGTGGTAGTCACTGAACCAGAGTTCCAATCCACTTAACCACCTTTGAGATCTTGGGCAAGTCACTTCTCCAGTCTGGGCCTCAGTGTCCTCATCTGTAAAATGGGGAGATCTCAGAGGCCCTTTTTGGCTCTGGATGTGTGCTCTTATGATACTGTAAGACCAGTTCTGGGAAAACAAATGTTAGGGTTGATGATTGAATTCAATAGATGCTATGCTGGGCCTATGAGAGTCTCAGGCCTCAAGGAACTTAGTTGGGGGCACAGAGAGGGTCAGGGCACAGATTAGCAAATCCAAAATAGTTTGTTGAGGGGAGCGTTCCTTCCACCTGGGCAATTAAGAGAGGCTTCTTGAAGGGGGTAGTGCTTGAGCATTGAAGGGAGATGGGAAAGTGTAGGGCAGGGGCAGAGCATTCTAGGCATGGGAGAAAACCAGGGCAAAGCCAGTGAAAGGTCCTAGAAAAGCCCAGTTCTCCCATATATAGCCCCACAGCAGGGCCAAGCAGGCACCCAGTGGAAGAGTAGAACAGAGAGAAAGTCCAGTACACTCCTCTGCACAGGAAGGCAGCCCAGAGCGCCAGGTGCTTGGAGATAGGACTTTCCAGGGGCACTGGGGCTGGGGGGGGGGGAGGTAAACAGGGCCTGAAACTTTGAGTGGGACCCCATTAGGGACAACCCCACCTGACTTCAGGTAAACAGGGCTTGAAGCCAGCAGGATCTCAGTCCTAGCCTGTCAGGGCAACACTGGGGTTCAGAGCCAACCCCCAGCTAGGTCACTGGGCCAAGGAGACAGGAGTGATCAGTATATATGTTCCTCAGAGCATCTGTAGCCATAGCAAAAGAAAGGGCCAGCTCTCTGACCTAATACACAACCCAGAGGGGACCTTGGAGGAGATCTGAAAACAGAGTGATCTTCAGCTTCCAACTGGGGTCTCTCAAGACTCCAGCAGGGCAGGGCAGGGGACGGAACAGGGAGGCAGGGAGAGGCTAAGGCCAGGACCCATCCTAGGCTATCAGAAGACACAGGTGGAGTCATGGATTGGGTCCAGGGTGGGGCCTTGTCTCACCCACCCCCTGAAGACCACAGCAGGCAGGACCAAGCAGGGCTTGTCTACCCATTCCAAGAGCAGGTGAGGGGTGGAGCCTGGCCCTGGCCCAAAGTCCTAACCCAGTAGCTGAGACTAGAAACATGCCTAAATACCCAAGAGGTGAGCCCCAAAGAAGACAAGGCCAGTGCCCTTGAGAATAAACAGCTTAGGGGCAGCTAGGTGGTGCAGTGGCTGGAGCGCCAGTCTTGGAGTCAGGAGGACCTGAGTTCAAATCTAGCCTCAGACACTTGACACTTGCTAGCTGCATGACCCTGGGCAAGTCACTTAACCCCAATTGCCTCACCAAAAAGCCAAAAGAAAAGAAAAGAGAATAAATAGCTTAGAACAGAAGACAGAACACCTCACTCCCTAAGAGAATGAAGCAAACAGAACTTCATGATGCCATGATACAGCAAGAAATGTTCAGGTCAAAAGACTGAAAAATTAGAAGAGTTTGTAAAGTATCTACCATCAAAAACAACTGACCTGGAAAACAAAAGAAATGATCAAAGAATCATCAGACTCCCTGAAAATTGTGACTTTAAAAAAAAACACCTTGAATATTATATTTCAAGAAATCACAAAAGAAAACTGCCCAGATCTATTAGAAGAAGACAAATTAAAAAAAAGAAACCACTGGTCACCTCCTAAAAGACTCTCCAGACTGTGAACAACCAGGAATGTCATAGTCAAAACCCACAGCTTTCAGGTTTAAAAAAAAAAAAGTACTGTGAACAACAGCCAGCATTGAGTTCAAGTACTGAGGAAGCAGAGTCAGCCACAAAAGACTATGATACAGCTACTTAAGAGGAGAGAAAATCTTGGAACATGATGTTTTGAAAGGAAAAGAAAAAAGCATGGAGCCAGGAGACAGATATCCTGTGAAAGGAATAGCCGGTAGGCCCATTGCCTGGCATGTAGATAGCATGTAGAAATGAGCCTGGAATGAGAGGCTGGGGCCAGGATGTGAAGGGCTTTAAATGCCAAACAGAGGCAACAGGGAGTTATAGAAGCTTCTGGAGTAGGACAAAGGCTTTTAGTTGGACGCCACCGGGGCTGCTGTGCTTGAAGACTCTGCTCAGGGGCTTGCTTGCTTACCATTCAGACTTCATAAACAGATAGATCCATCATGTGGGTCCTGGTCCCTGTCAGTTCCATGTCTCCTGCGCCCTTTGCTCAGGGTGATTCAGCCTTACCTGATGTGGATTTCTGTGTCAATATTTACAGGTTACATGCAGAGGGCACAGCCCTAGGATATATGGTGGATTTCGGGGAGAAAAAGCAATCTTAGGTCTCTCTTCCCTGCCCAGGCTTGGGTAGCCCTCTGCTGACGGATGAAATAGCAGTCCCTTCACTATAGCTGCTCCCCAAACAGCAGCAGACGTGGAGGGGGGGAGTCCCCCGTCTCTGTGTATGTGTTGTCGGCTGATGTCCTGCCCACTTCCCATACAGCCTGTTCTCGTGACTTGGCCTTTCTTGCCCCCAACGCCCAAGAAAGACTTCCCCTTACCTATTTCTGTTTTCTGCCACCCTGGCTCTAACTTGCAAAGTCTCTTTCTCATGTTTGGGCAGCCTTGGAGCAATGCTGACTCCTCAGGGAGGGATGAATAAGGTCCCAGACTCAGGGTTCAAGGGGCACCCAAGGTTCCCTCCATGAAGCTGAACTTGCAAAGCTTTCTCTGATTCCCCACAGTTGCCTGTATATGCCGCTGCTGCTGCTGCTCCTCTTCCTCTCGTCATCCTGTCTTTACTTCTCTGTGCACTGCGATCTCCTCATAGAACATCAGCTCCTTGAGGGCAGACCCAGTTTTGTCTTTGAACCCTAGACTCTAGCCTCGTGAGTATTAAGCATTTAATAAATGTTTGAACTGAATTGATGGTTTATGCCGTGCCTTTGGAGGAGGCCCCTGTCTGATGAACTAGTGGGGGTGGAAGAAATTCACATGTTTGTTTTGAGGAGAAAAATATTTGTTTGAGTAAAGTCCTGAACAGTCCTGGCAGGACCACAGAGATGGTCATGTTGTTTACTTATTAGCCTCATAGGCCTGGGATCCTAGAAGAGATCACAAGCCCAGATCACTGAGAAGGAACCCTGTCGCTCTCAAAGAAAGGGCCACGTTTTTTAAAAAAATGAATGTTAAAAATGTTTTCACTTGTAATTGGAGAAAAAATAAAATATTATTTAAAAAGACAAAAATCAAAGAAGGGACCACAAATCCCTCACTGGTTGTCAGGTCAAGGGACTTTTGTTTCCAGCGCCTCTTGCCTGAGGGACCCCCAGGTCCGTCAGTGTCTGGGAGCTGGGCTGTCTCCACTCCCAGAAGTCTCCTGGAGGCCCTTCCTTCTCCCTGCCCTGGACTGTGGTTAGAGCTCAGCCCTCCATTGCTGCTCAGCCCTCAGTCACTCACCTTCTCACACGTGCTGCATGCTGGGTCAGGGTCTGCCTCTGCCTCTTCTCTCAGACTCCCCATCTGGGCAGTGGCTGCCTGCCTCCGTCCTCCCCGTCCCACCCTGCTCCACTCTGTCTTTGTTCTCTGTTCCTCTTGGCATGTTGCCTCACAAGTGATATCTTATCTTTATTTCATTCTAGCACATAAACTAATGAGTCCAGTTTGGTGGTGATGATGATAGTAGTAATAATTCCCATGAACACAGGACCTTAAGACTTAAAAATGAAGTGTGGAGTAGATTGGGAATGCAGGGTAAGGGAGAGGAGAGAGAACAAATATGGCAGATGCAAGTTTAAAGATTAACTTGGATTCCAGCTCTGGCCACCAGAGGCCTTGGCCCTGTCCAGTGGTTCAATACCAAGCGCTGATGTGATTTTATCAGTGGAGATGACATTAAAGAAGAGGCCTGACCACTGCTCGGCTGCTGCCCTAAGGGCCATGGGACTTCTCCATCTGATTTGTAGCTGAGACCTTCCCAGGGCTGTGTTGGCTCCTCGTTAGACCTGCAGCTTCTTGAGGACAGGCACCATCTGACTTGCCTCTTTGTATCCCCAGCACTAAGCACCTAGTGAGGGCTTTCTTCTGTCTCATACCAGATTGGGTCAAGTGTGGGCAGGCCTTTGTAGTGGATAGGGCTCTGAATTTGGAGTCAGGAAGACCTGGGTTCTGATCTTTCCTCTGACGCTGAGGCGCTGCATAACCACAGACAGGCAAGTCTCTTCTCTCTCTGAGCCTCAGTTTCCCCACTTCCCAGGCTTGCTGCGAGGCCCGCGTCAGGCACAGCGTGTGAGTTATTATCGCTAACTGTCCCCACAGGACTGTGCCTCCACCACCATGAGCAGCACCCTGCAGTCACCCACAGACTTTGACAGCTTGGAGATCCAGGGTCAGTACAGTGATGTCAACAACCGTTGGGAGCTGCCCGACGTCGACTGGGACAATGAGAGCAGCTCCGCCAGGCTCTTTGAGCGCTCCCGGATCAAGGCTTTGGCAGGTGGGTGCTCCTCAGAGGGGAGAGGGGGTGGGGGGCTGGAAGCCGACCACGGCCTAGTGGAGGAGCTGGTCTCCAAGTGGTTCTGCCAGGATCCAGCCTCGTAGCACACAGACGTTCCAGCTCCTGCCCCTGCACACACCTAATACGTGGCCTTGCTGGCTAGTCTGGGGAGGGCCCAGCCCTCTGTACAGCTCCGGGGCCTGGCCTTTCTCCTTTCCCTCCGCCGGTTCTCTGGCGCCCCTTTCTTCCCCAGCCCCGACTGTTTTTCCTTAATTCACACTGCTATTCTCCTCACCTCATCTCCCCACCTGCTGCCTGTCCCTCCACCTGTTCCCTGCATCACATGCCCTGGGCCCGCCTGCTGCCTTTTCCTGCTGCCTTTTCTCTGATGTGCTCAGACTGCCCCGGCCCCTGCCCTCCCCTCTGGCTCCTACAAGCACCCACAGACCCGTCGGACAGGCCCTGCTGCGTTCCTGGGCTGAGTTGTCATGGCAGTGAGAGAGCGTGCTGCCTACCGGTGCCAGACCCCGGCCCCTACACTCCCATCTGACAGGCCAGGTTTCCCAGGCCTCCTACAAGAGACCTTCCCCGGGGGAGGCCTGAACGGTCAAGTCCAAGGATCAGACTAGGGGCATCGCGCCTTGGAATGTCCCTTGGGCCACTTTCCCTCCCTAACCCTCTGCTTATGTCCTCACAGAGGCTTCTGTTATGTCCGAGCAGTTTAAAAAGAAAGGGCTGGGAGAAGATGGGATGGATGGAGAAGGCTTTGGTTATCCCAGAAGGTGGGGGAGGGGAGCTGGAAGCTCCCAGAGTGGGAAGAAGGAGAGTCTGTCTGTCCCAGGCTCCTCTGCTGTCTGTCTGCTGGGAAGTGGCCCAAAGTGTGAGGGCCCCAGGCCAGGGCAGGGTTCTGCCAAGGGAGACAGAGGTGGGTGGGGCAGGAGCCACGAAGAGGTGTGTGTGCCAGCTGAGGAGGGGGGGATCCTCCTCTATCAGTCCCTCCCCCAAACCACCAAGGCCAAGGGAGGAGATTGCTCCCCTGCTGGAAGAAGGGGGTCTTTGGGGACTCACAGTCCCTTCTGCTTCCCCACTGTAGAAGCCTCAGGAGCAGAGCTACCCAGAGACCTGGGAAGGGGTCGTGAGGGCCACGCACAGAGGCCCATCCTTTCTCCACCAGCCCCGGGTGGGAGCGTGGGGGCTTCAGACCCCTCTCCCGCTCTCTCTCATTGGGGTCTCCTCAGACATCTCAGACTCTCCCCATAAGGAGCGGTTATAGGGTGCTCAAAGATCCCTCCTCCCCCTTAGGGCCCGGCCCTGCCCCAGCCCCCTAGCTCCACCTCCTTCCCCTCCCCCGCCGCTGTCCAACCTGTTTGTCTGGAGCGTCCCCTGGCTCTGCCCCTGCCTGCCAGACAGCTCAGCCAGGTGTGCCCCCTTCTGCCTGGCCCGTCAGCAGCGCGGCAGCAGCATCTGGAGCTCCGCAGCTCAGACGTCCCCCAGTCCTCGGGCCCCTGCGACCCCTGCATCCAGGACCCCGGGCTGCTCCATCCCCACAGGGCTGACCTTGAACTTGGGCCCCTGGCTGGGGGAGAATGGACTCTGGGCTCTCGGTTCTGTAGGGAGCAGCAGACAACATGAATGGGGACGGGCTCATGGGGAACAGCCTCAATGGAGTGGGGGAGCCCCACTATGAGGCTATGGAGGGGGCTCGACGCCCAGGGAGCCCCCTGCTCTCCCCTGCGGCCTTCATTAACCCTGCCCAGTATGCCAGTGTGTTGGAAGGACGGTTCAAACAGCTTCAAGGTGAGGGTCCCGTAGGCAGGAGGGCCTGTCAGTGAGGGGGGAGAGAGAGAGAGAGAGAGAGAGAGAGAGAGAGAGAGAGAGAGAGAGAGAGTGTGTGTGTGTGTGTGTGTGTGTGTGTGTGTGTGTGTGTGTGTGTGTGTGTGTACAGGCCCAGAGGGGCAGATCCTGAGAGGAGCTGGGCTGGGTCAGAGGGAAGGGGGAGCTGGAGAGGCACTGGGGAGTGGTGCGATCGGAGGAGAAAAGGAGGGGGAGGGAGTAGGCATTAGGCAGTGCCTGTTATGTGCCATGCATCGTGGCAAGCACTTTACAAGTATCGTTTCATTTGATTGTAAGGAAATGTGGGGGTTGTCAGGGGGAGGACAGCATGTGGGCTCAGTGACCCGTGACCAAAGCGGAGGGCAAGGAGACACTTGAACGGTCACATGTATGGCTGTCCGGGGGAGGCGTGGGAGGACCCAGAGCTCTGTTGTGGAGTAGCCTGCAGGGGCCCACCGAGTGGGCCAGTGTGTGTGGGGGTGTGTGTGTGTGTGTGTGTGTGTGTGTGTGTGTGTGTGTGTGGGTGGGTGTGTATGGAAGAGTGAGGGTAAGAGTGTGTTTCTGTCCTGTGTGTAGGTGGCTAAACGTGGGTGAGGAGACATGGGGAGAAGAAAGGGGGTCATGGAGAATTTGGGGGAGGGTATGTGTGCGTGTGTGTGCATGTGTGCGCGTGCATGTGTGGGTGGGTGTGTCCAGAGTGGGGGGCGAGGCACATGTCCCGAGTCAGCAGAGATGGCCGTAGAAACGGGGGTCTCTACGAGCCTTCAGCGCAGCCTGACATCCGTGTACCTGTTGGAGTTCTGGGTGTGTCTGTGGGCCTAGGAAGGCTCCCAGTGTATGTATATTCCCTGGTGAGACAGGGCTTTGCCTCTGCCCCTCCTCCTTCCGGACGCCTCTGTCCATGTGGCTCTTTCCTCTCCTTAGCCAACCTTGGCGAGGTCGGCTCCGACCCAGATGGGCAAGGTTGGCTAAGGATGGCCGGGGCTCAGAACGTGAAAAGGAGTCAGATTTTAGCCAGTGTCTACTCTCAGGGCTCTGGACGATGAGGGGCATCAGAGCATCTCATTGCATCGTTGGGACCCCAAGACTGGCGCATGGAAGGGGCCGGGGGCAGTAGGGAGGGGAGGGGCAGACAGGGTTTCATGAGTCTGGGAGCAGGACAAACAGGATCATCATTTTGGAGGGGAAGGGCCCTTAGAGTCCAGCCTGTGGTCTAGCCCCCTTCTTTTATAGAGGGAGAAACTGAGGCTCAGCAGTGAAGGTCAGAGAACCAGAAATGATTGGATGCCAGGGCACAGGCCGCCTCTGAGATCATGGGGACACATCCCTCAGGCCTTGGAGAAGGAAACCACAAGGACTCGGCACAGGTTGACCCTTGACCTTTACTTTCCCCAGGCACTTAAAGACAGGGAGGGACCCAGGAAATAGAAGCTGGTCCTAGGACGGCTCCCCTTTCTGTGTGTGTGACTCAGCAGAGCAGAAACCCCCCAACCCCTTAGAGGCGGGCGTCCCCAGAAGGAGGATTTCTGAGGGGCCTTGCCACAGACCGTCCCCAGGATGACCAAGCTCCAGGGCCAGAGAAACCTTGGCCCCCGCCAAGCACGTAGGGGACCCTCTTTGGGAGCATCTCTGGAGGAAAATGAGGTTCCGGCTTCTCTTGGGACCTTGTTTGACAACATGCCTAATGACTGGCTGCCCTTTATAATTTAGGGCCAGACCTTGACTCCAGGGCCTAATAGCTCTCTTTGGTGGGTACTTTGAGGTTTGCAAAGTACTTTCCCTGACTTATCTCATCTGAGCTTTACTGGCAGCCGGGAGCTAAAGGTGTGATTATCCCCGTTTTACAGATAAGGAAATTGAGGCTCAGGAGGAGGAATGACCTGCCCAGGGTTACACAACTCTTGAAACTGTCTCAGGGAGGTTTGAACCCAGGTCTCTACTGATGCCAAGTGCACAGGTTCTCCCCCCCCCCCCCAGTATCCCACTTCCCCTTCACATAATTACAGACTTATTAAATTTCTCTCAGTCTCTCTTTAAGTGGCCCCTCCCCAGCAAGTTGTTTTAGTCTCTCTCCATGAAGCTTATTTCTTACTCCTTCAATCATCTGTATTTTTTGAGATCAAGTCAACATTTATTAAGCACCTGCTCTATGCCAGGCACCGTGCAAGGCCTTGTAGAAATAACACAAATGAAAATGGTTCCTGTCCTCAGGAAGCTTCTGTTCTGTGGGATGGGGGTGGGGGGAATGACACAATATGTACACAGAGAAGTCCATATGAGACATCCACAAAGTAACTTTGATGGAATGACGTGATGGATTCAAAGTCGAGTCCTGGGTTCAAATTCTGAGTCTGCACCGACCACTCTGTGACAACCTTTAAGACTGCATCTGGTGCCTGAGCTGTAGGCCTGTGGTCTCGTGAACCAGAGTTGGGCGGTCAGCAATGCCCAGGTGTAGGTGGAAACACCTGCATTGAGCGCTGTGTGCTTCTGACGAGGCAGTGGCCCTCTCTGGGCCCAAGTGGGGGTTGGGTCTGCCCACCCAAGATTCCTTCTGGCCCAGCCGCTTGGGATCCGTGAAGGCTCTGAGGCTCCCAGGGGCTGTGGGAGGGCCCGGCCTGGCTGGGCCCCTGGCTCTGCTCACCCCTCTCTTCCCGAAGCTCCCTGAGCCCAAGCTGGGCAGTCAGACATCTCGAGGGGTGGCCGTGGAGCAATGGTTTGGAAGTTGGGGGTCAAGGGTGGGATAAGCTGTGTTGACCCCATCTTGGTGTCTTCTAGATGAGCGAGAGGCTGTGCAGAAGAAAACCTTCACCAAATGGGTGAACTCCCACCTGGCAAGGGTCACGTGCCGCGTCGGGGACCTGTACAGCGATCTGCGTGATGGGCGCAATCTGCTGAGACTGCTTGAAGTGCTCTCTGGAGAGATGCTGGTAAGTAGTGGGGAGGGGGCCCTTGGAGAGAGGGGAGAGCCCCAGACAGGAAGAGGAGCTCAGGCTCTTTCTGCAAGGACCACAGAAGGCTGGCAAGGGCAGTGGGATTGCCCTCTGCCTACAGGAACAGTGGCCCCATTGAGCCGAGCTCCTTCCCACTCAGGCCAAAACCTGTTAATTCCCTGGGGAATCTTAATCTGCCGCCAGCCCCACATCAAATCCCAGCTTTGGCCCATGAAATCTGGCTCAGCTCAGGGACTGCCCCCAGCTCTGGACGTTCCCTTTGCAGACGAATGCCAGGGGGCGGGCGCGGGGTGGGGCCGGGCGCTGCTCTCCATCCCCGGCCTTCCTGTCCCTCCAGCCAAAACCCACCAAAGGGCGCATGCGTATCCACTGCCTGGAGAATGTGGACAAGGCCTTGCAGTTCCTGAAGGAGCAGAAGGTGCATCTAGAGAACATGGGCTCCCACGACATTGTGGACGGTAACCACCGCCTGACGCTCGGCTTGGTCTGGACCATCATCTTACGGTTCCAGGTACACAGACAGTCAAGCTAAGACCCCAGGGGCGCCCAACCTCAGCCTCACTACCTGCCCCAGGCATTGGTGATTTCAAACTGGATGACCCATGGGCGTGACCCTTCCCTCTTCCCCAATGCTGTTGAGGGCACTGCCCGCCTCCTCCTCACCCAGCTTAGAGTCCTTGGTGTCACCCTCCCTCACCCCCATCAGGCGCCTCCTACCTTGCCACCTCTCCTGAGTTCTCCAGGCCGCTTCAGGCCCTCATCCCCCTTGCCTGGACTCTGTGATTGCCTCCTGATTTCTCAGGGATATTTCTAAAGTGCACTCCCTTGCCTCATAAACTCCGGTGACTCCCTGTTGTCTCTGGGGTCAAACCCAGCATCCTCACGACACGGGCCATCCCCCCTTCCCTGCCTCATCACTCTTAGCAGCGCTCCATCCAAAGGGCCCTCTCTCTGCCCTCCACCCCAGCCTTCGGGCCTTTCCTCCGAGCTTCCTGTGCCTGGTGTCCCCCGCGGTGAGCACCTCAAAGGCAGAGAACGTGGGGCAGCGGCCACCATGTGCCTGGCACACAGAAAGAGCTTACTAAGTGTTTGCTGATCGATTGGCCCACAGCACCCTTGGTTCCATGAAATTCAACAAGCATTTATTAAGCTCTGATAGCATGCCAATATGATAATATGCCATGCTAAGTGTTAGGGAGACAGAGACAAAGTGAAACTGGCCTGCCCACAAGAAGCTTCCATTCTTCTAGGAAGAAGTAAGCCAGACACAGATGAGAGTGTCCAACAGAAATGCCAAGTAATTTCAGTGAGGTCAGGGGACACGCTAAGAACGGGGCCTGTGAAAGCCTTGGGGCGCGGGTGATGCTGGAGCAAGGCCTTGGAGGAGTGAGAGAGAGGGAGAACCTCTCGGGCCCAGGGCCCGGCTGGACCACCACTGCCGTTCCTGTTGGCCGCTGTGTAGAGAGAAAGGCCAGAGCCGGGTGCCCTTCGGGTCCCAGAGCCCAGACCCGCTGGGGAACCCGTCAGTCAGTCAGTAAACATTTGTGAAGCACCTGTGGGCAGCTGGGTGGTGCCATGGTGCATAGAGCGCAGGCCTGGGGTCAGAAGGCGCATCAGAACTGGCCTCAGACACTTCCTAGCTGGGTGACCGTAGGCAAGTCACTTCACCCTGTGTGCCTCAGTTTCCTCACCTGTAAAACGAGCTGGAGAAGGAAATGGCAAACCAGTCTAGGATCTCTGCCAAGAAAATCTCAAATGGGGTCCTGGAGAGTCAGACATGACTGAAAATGACTGAAAAACAACAGAGGGCCTGTGTGCGTGCCAGGCACTGTGCTAAGTGTTCAGGATACAAAAAGAGGCAAAAGACGGTCCCTGCCCTCAAAGAGCTCACAGGCTAATGGGGGAGACAGCAACAAACACGTGCAAAGTAAACTAAATATAGGATAAATAAGAAATCGTTAGCAGAGGGGAGGCACTGGAATTAGAAGTTTGCAGAAGGCTTCCTGTAGGAGGTGGGATTTTAGCTGGGACTTAGAGGAAGCCGGGAGGTCAGTGGTCAGAGCAGAAGAGGGACAGGGTGTGGAGGGCCTTGTTCACGGCCCGCCAGGCCAGTGTGCTGGGGAGTGAGAAGGAGGTGTGAGAAGACAGGAAGGTGGGAGGGGGCAGCTTATGGAGGGCTGCGAAGGCCATAGGGTGTGTTGAGAAGGGGGTGACATGGTCAGACCTGGGCTTCAGGAAAATCCCTTTGGTGACTGAGTGGAAGTTGGGCTGGAGAGGGGAGAGAGCCCCAGCAGCTACTGCAGTAGTCCAGGCCTGGGGTCTGCATCGGGGTGGGGCGGTGTCAGAGAAGAGAAGAGGGTGTGTTGGAGAGATGGTGCAGAGGTGACCTCGACAAGCCTTGGCAACAGCTTGGACGTGGTGGGGCGGGGTGAGAGATGGTGAGGGATTCAGGATGACTTCTAGGTAGGGAGCCTGAGGGTCTGGGAGTGAGGTGATGCCCCTGACAGTCATAGGGAAGGGGGGAGGGACCCAGAGTTGTCGGGGGGAGGTTGGGTTTAAGACGTCTACTAGACGTCCAGCGTGAGATGTCTGAAAGGCAGTGGGCGGTCAGCAGAGATGATGGGAGACTCCTCAGCATTGAGGTAGCCATTAGACCCACGGGGGCCAGGGCAGCTTCCTGAGCTGGGGAGGGACGTGGCCAGAGCTGTGCTGTAGGTAATCCCTCTGCCAGCGACGAGGGGCCTAAATCACAGAGGGCAGAGGCTGGAGCCCCAAATACGGCCCCATCTGTGTTCTCTTGGATGTGGGGCTACCCCAAAGTGCTGCCCCATTTGTGTCCCTCCACCACCTTCCACCAGACTGTCTTCCCACTGTGTGGACCTGCCCCGTCCTGGTTTCCCTGTCCCTTCCTTGCATGTAAGCGCCTGCTCAGTGCTAGTGCTGGTCTCTACGGTGAGTGTCCATGTCTAGGTCTGGCCTCACGTTCGTCACATACCTCCCTCCCCGTCCTCTCTCTGAGCCACCTCAGCCAGCAAGGGCTGTGTGCCCAAGAGAAGGGCAGTGATCGTCCTGGCCCTAAGCAGGGCCTGAGTGCCACCCTTTGTCCCTCAGATTCAGGACATCAGCGTGGAGACAGAAGACAACAAGGAGAAGAAGTCGGCCAAGGACGCCCTGTTGTTGTGGTGCCAGATGAAGACCGCGGGGTAAGGAGGGGGCCGCGCCCTGGGCACCAGCTCAGAGCTGAGGGTGCAGAGGCGGGGGCCTGTGTGCCTGCATGCTTCTCCCCGCAGAGGTGAGGAAGGCGGCCTTCTCTTTGCTCCTTGTTCACAGGTACCCCAATGTCAACGTGCACAATTTCACCACCAGCTGGAGAGATGGCCTGGCCTTCAATGCCATCGTGCACAAACACCGGTGAGCAGGGGCAACTGAGCAGAGGTGGGGGTGGGGCGTGGCGGCTCCCTGGGTGTTAAGGCCCTTCTTTTCATGGTCTCGGGGCCCTCGTTCCCTCATCATCTAGGCCAGACCTGTTGGAGTTTGAGTCTCTGAGGAAGTGCAACGCTCACTATAACCTACAGAATGTCTTCAACCTGGCCGAGAAGGAGCTAGGCCTCACCAAGCTGCTGGACCCAGAAGGTGGGCGGGATGGGGGGAAGGCGGGCTCCCGGTCTGAGTTGTATGTCTGCTCCGGGCCGCCAGAGAGTGTGACAGGGGAGCGCTATGGGGCCTTTGGCCTGCTGGCAACAGACAAAAACGAGCGGGCCTGAGGTGCGCCGGGGGGGCAAAACTGCCCCGAATTTCTGACCCAGCCAACATCTCTGAGAGTCCAAAGGGGCCCCAGTGAAGGTCTTCCCACGTCTCCCTTGTGGAGAAGCCGCGGTCAGTTGCCTTCCTCATCCCGCCACTGAACATTTGGTCTGGAGTCAGCTCTGAGATGGAGCTGGCGAGCGGCCTTGCCTCCACACTGCCTGGCTGTGTCATGAGGCCCTCTCTCTGTGTCCTAGACCAGGGCTCCAGAAAGCTGCAGAGCCCTGGAGCCCACAGGCCCTCCGGCCAGCCTGCCCCAGGCCATCTCTATCACTTCTCCTAGCCCAGGGGCACGATGCTCCTTCCCAAGGGTGTTGGGTACGCTGTTTCTCCTGGGAACTGCTCAGGCTCCAAGGGCCCTGAGAAAATGATCTCTGTTAACTTGTCCATGACCTTTCAGGCCAAATGACTTAATTGCCAATTTGACCTATGAAATACTGCCCAGAAGTCCTTCCTGAAAGGGTGGCCAAGAGCAGGGAGGACCATAGGCAGGATTCTGGGAGGAGGTGGAGGCAGAAGGGCAGTGGACGCTCTCCCTCTGAGCCAGGGCCCTGGGCCTCCGACATGCAATGGCTTCTTCCCCAGATGTGAATGTGGACCAGCCCGATGAAAAATCCATCATTACCTATGTGGCCACATACTACCACTACTTCTCCAAGATGAAGGCCCTCGCCGTGGAAGGCAAGCGCATTGGCAAGGTAGGGCGCCCTGGGGAGGGAGAAGGCCCAGCCAGAGAAGGCATGCCCGAGCTCCCGGGGTACGGGGAGGGCTTCGAGGAAGGACCGGGCAGCCCCCTTTGGCCTTCCCTCTCAGGTGCTGGACTATGCCTTGGAAGCTGAGCGCTTAGTGGAGAAATACGAGTCTCTGGCCTCCGAGCTGCTCCAGTGGATTGAGCAGACCATTGTGACCCTCAATGACCGGCAGCTCGCCAACTCCCTGAGTGGCGTGCAGAATCAGCTACAGTCCTTCAACTCTTACCGCACGGTGGAGAAGCCGCCCAAGTAAGCTGCCCTGCCCTGGGTTGGGGCTTGCGCTGAGGAGCCCCAGCGCGATGGAGCCTTGGGTCCTAAGCGCTCTCCTCCCCTTGGCCTCCAGGTTCACGGAGAAGGGAAACTTGGAAGTTCTGCTCTTCACCATCCAGAGCAGACTTCGTGCCAACAACCAGAAGGTGTATGCCCCACGGGAGGGCCGGCTTGTCTCGGACATCAACAAGGTGCGTGTGCCTGTCAGGGCCCTCCCAACTCAGCCTGATGCATCTGACTCCTCGGGCACCTGGCACGCAGCTGCTCTCTCCGGCAGCCTCCCTCTCTTTGGTTGGACGCCCTCTCTGAACGTGTCACGAGCGGCTGCCACCGCTAGTTGTGAGAACGCCCCCAAGGGCCTGTTTACTGAGACTCCCTGGTGGCCATCCCAGGGCCTTCTGTGTCCCTTCCTCCTCTCTGTTGCTGCTGACCCTGCCGCTGACCGTGCCCTGATCCTTGCAGGCTTGGGAACGTCTGGAGAAAGCAGAACACGAGCGGGAGCTGGCGCTGCGCACTGAGCTGATCCGCCAGGAGAAGCTGGAGCAGCTGGCCGCCCGCTTTGACCGCAAGGCCGCCATGCGGGAGACCTGGCTTAGCGAGAATCAGCGCCTTGTGGCCCAGGTCGGTAGGGAGCGCTGAGAAGAGAAGGGGTAGCCGGAGGCTGGACGTCCAAGGCAGTCAGCCCACCCGCAGGAAGGCAGGGCACACACCCTCCCTATCCTCTCTCCTGCAGGATAACTTTGGCCTGGAGCTGGCGGCCGTGGAGGCTGCAGTGCGGAAACACGAAGCCATCGAGACAGATATCGTGGCCTACAGCGGGCGCGTGCAGGCCGTGGATGCCGTGGCTGCGGAGCTGGCTGCCGAGCGTTACCATGACATCAAGCGGGTGGCGGCCCGACAGCACAATGTGGCCCGGCTGTGGGACTTCCTGCGGCAGATGGTGGCGGCGCGGCGCGAGCGGCTGCTTATCAACCTCGAGCTGCAAAAGGTCTTCCAAGACCTCTTCTACCTCATGGATTGGATGGAGGAGATGAGGGTACGTATGGGCAGCGCCCCAGGGAGGAAGGCCTTGGGCCCTGGGCAGCGGGCACTGACCACCTGGGCCCCCATGGCAGGGACGGAGCCTGGGCGAGGGCTTGGCCAAAGGACAGAGGAGTGAGAGAGAACAAAACGGAAGGCCCCAAGATGCCAGGATGGTCACTACTATCCAGGACAACAGGGCCAAGGGCATGGGCCAGGCTGGGATGGAAGGGTGATGGGCCAAGCATCCTGTGTCTCTGGCAGGGCAGACTGCAGTCTCAGGACCTAGGCAAGCACCTGGCTGGTGTGGAAGATTTGCTGCAGCTGCACGAGCTGGTGGAAGCCGACATCGCTGTGCAGGCCGAGCGGGTCCGAGCGGTCAGTGCCTCAGCACTTCGGTTCAGTGACCCTGGGGCAGGTGAGAGGCTGGGGGGTGATGGCAGAAAGAAGCTTGGGGGCTGCGGGAGAGGTAGAAGAGGTTCTGAGTGGCCCCTCTCCTCCCCTCCCTCCCCTCTCCAGGCTATAAGCCGTGCGACCCCCAGCTTGTGTCCCAGCGCGTGGACGCCCTGCAGCAGAGCTACGACGGCCTCTGTGAGCTGGCAGCCACACGGCGGGCCCAGCTGGAGGAGTCCCGCCGCCTCTGGCGCTTCCTCTGGGAAGTGGGAGAGGCAGAGGCCTGGATCCGCGAGCAGCAGCACCTCCTGGCATCGGCCGAGCCCGGCCGCGACCTCACCGGTGTTCTGCGGCTCCTCAGCAAGCACGCGGCCCTCCGAGACGAAATGAGCGGCCGCCTTGGACCACTGAAGCTCACGCTGGAGCAGGGTCATCAGCTGGTTGCAGAAGGCCATCCGGGAGCGAAGCAGGCGGCCGCACGAGGAGCTGAGCTGCAGGCCCAGTGGGAGCGCCTCGAAGCCCTGGCAGAAGGGCGGGCGCGGGACCTGGCCCAGGCCTCCAGCCTCTACCAGTTCCAGGCGGAGGCGCACGACATGGAGACGTGGCTGGTGGATGCCCTGCGCCTGGTGTCCAGCCCGGAGCTGGGCCATGACGAGTTCTCCACCCAGGCCTTAGCCAAGCAGCACCGGGCCCTGGAGGAGGAGATGCGGAGCCACCGCGCTGCCTTGGATGCGCTGAGGGAACAGGCCGCGGCCTTGCCGGCTGCCCTGGCCCACGCCCCCGAGGTGCAGGGCTGGCTGCCCGTGCTGGAGCGCCGCTACCAGGAGCTGCAGGCGCGAGCCGGCGAGCGGGCCCGAGCCCTGGAAGCTGCCCTGGCGCACTACACCATGCTCAGCGAGGCGAGCGCCTGTGGGCTCTGGGTGGATGAGAAGGAGCAGTGGCTCAATGGGCTCGCCCTGCCCGAGCGCCTGGAGGACCTGGAGGTGGTGCAGCAGCGGTAAGCAGCTCCTGCCCCACCGCTGCCCGCTAGCCCCTTTGCCCCATGGTCAGCGCTTCACTCCTGGCAGCTCCGAGGCTTCCCTCACACCTCCACTGGGAATGGGTGCACATGTTAAGCCTTTAACAGCTACACTGGAGATCAGCTAATGGCTGACCCAGGTCAGCAGGAGTGGATGTAGGCTAGCCTGCCCCCTGCACTGCTCCTTGCTGGCAGTCCGGCAGCTCTACACTCAGTTGGGGGGCTGGACGTTGGCCCCGCGAAGGGCACGCCTGCCAGCCCCCCACCCCCTGGAGCCCTAGTTCCTATGGGTGGGGTGAGAGCTCAGCAGGGGCAGGGGCTACCACCAGTCCCAGGAGAGTCAGAGCTTCTGCTCTCCCTCTGGGCAGGTTCGAGACTCTGGAGCCTGAAATGAATGCTCTGGCTGCCCGTGTCAATGCAGTCAATACCATTGCCCAGCAGCTGCTGGAGGCCAAGCCGCCTGGCAGAGATAGCATCCTCACCACCCAGAAGCAGCTCAACCACAGGTGAGGCTGGGGCTGGGGCTGCTGGGAGCGGACCGGATCGGAGGGAGGAGAGGCTGAGAGCTGACTCAGGCAGGCAGACAGAGGGGCCTTTGGACGAGAGTAGGCAGGATGGGCAGGGAGTGAGGGGAAGGGCAAAGGCAGAGCCACCAGAGCCAAAAAGGAGAAGGTAAAGGCCAGGGCAGGGGAAAGGGGTGCTCCCAAATGTGCCTGCTGGGCTAGAGAGCTTGCAGACACCTGTCCCGCCTTCCCAAGGTGGCAGCAATTCCGGACCCTGGCAGATGGCAAAAAGGCAGCCCTGACCTCTGCCCTGAGCATCCAGAACTACCACCTGGAGTGCACAGAGACCCAGGCCTGGATGAGGGAGAAGATCAAAGTCATTGAGTCCACCCAGGGCCTGGGCAACGACCTGGCTGGAGTGCTGGCCCTTCAGCGCAAGCTGGCTGGCACAGAACGGGACCTGGAGGCCATCGGAACCCGAGTGGGAGCCCTGGCCCAGGAGGCGCACGCCCTGGCCGCCAGCCACCCCACACAGGCCCCTGCCATCGAGGCCCGGCTCCGCGAAGTCCAAGACGGCTGGGAGGGCCTACGGGCCACCATGCGTCGCAGGGAGGAGTCCCTGGGGGAGGCCCGGCGGCTGCAGGACTTTCTTCGGAGCTTGGACGACTTCCAGGCATGGCTGGGCCGCACCCAGACAGCTGTGGCCTCCGAAGAAGGGCCGGCCACCCTTCCGGAGGCAGAGGCTCTCCTGGCCCAACACGCAGCCCTGCGGGATGAGGTGGAGCGAGCCAAGGGCGAGTACGGCCAGCTTCGCGCCGTGGGCGAAGAGGTGACCCGCGACCAGGCCGATCCCCAGTGTCTCTTCCTGAGGCAGCGCCTGGAGGCTCTGGGGACTGGCTGGGAAGAACTGGGTCGTATGTGGGAGAGCCGCCAGGCCCGGCTGGCCCAAGCCCACGGCCTGCAAGGGTTTCTGCGGGACGCTCGGCAGGCTGAGGGCGTGCTCAGTGGCCAGGTGAGACAGTCTCAGAAGGCAGAGGCCTCCGAGGGGGAAGGGGAGGAAGGAGAGAGAAGGAGAGACTGGGGCAGAAATGGGGGAAAGAGGGTCTGGGGTGGCCGCATGAGGGAAGGGGCAGGGAGTGCTAGAAAAAAGCCATGCAGGGGAAGAAAGAAGAGGTGGCCAAGCAGATTGGGTGAGCCTTGAGGACTGGAGTCAGGAGGGCTCAGACCAGTCACTTCACCACTCTGCCTCAGTTTCCTCATCTACAAAATGAGGGGAGGGTTGGAGTTAGATTCTGGAGTCCCTTCCAGCATCTATAAAGAAGCATCAGAAGAGACCTGAAGGGGCCAGGTTACGCGCTGCTTTTTGACGTGTCCCCTTATGGGGTGTTGTGCCCCTCTTCGCTCCCTTCCTCAAAGCTAGCCCATCTCCCCCCCCCCCCAGCCCTGGCAGGGCTCGTTTTCAAGGCCGTAGGAGGCCTGAGCGGCTGCTGATGTCCATTCTCCATCCCCACCCCAGGAGTATGTGTTGTCTCACACGGAGATGCCAGGGACCCTCCAGGCTGCTGATGCCGCCATCAAAAAGCTGGAGGATTTCATGAGCACCATGGATGCCAATGGGGAGCGGATCCGGGGGCTCCTGGAAGCGGGGCGTCAGCTGGTGGCGGGTGGCAACATCCACGCAGAAAAGATCCAGGAGAAGGCAGACTCAATTGAGAAGAGGTGGCTGGGCCTGGGCCTGGGAGGGGAGTGAGGGAGGTGGGGAGGAGCGGGGGGCGGGCCCCAGTTCGGCTGGATCCCAGGGCCCAGGGGCCCAGGCAGGATGAGGGCTCTGGGTCTGTCTGGATGGAGGTCTCGGCCAGTGCCAGGCCAGGGGGTCACGGCAGCCGGCCGTCATTACAGGCACAGCAAGAATCAGGAGGCCGCTCAGCAGCTTCTCCGTCGTCTCCGGGACAACCGAGAGCGCCAGCACTTCTTACAGGAGTGCCACGAGGTGGGTGCGCGGCCCCTGTCTTGTCTCCTTGTCAGCATCCTTGGGACCTGGCCCGGTGCCTGGTAGTAATGCCCGGGTGGGTCTACGCCTCCCTCCATCTGCTGTCCCCTTTGGGTCTCTCCCTCACAACACATGCTCTTTCTTGCCCTTCCTGACCCTCTTCCTGAATGGCTCTTTCCTGCCTGGTCCAGCTGACGCTGTGGATTGATGAGAAGATGCTGACGGCCCAAGATGTGTCCTATGACGAGGCTCGAAACCTGCATACCAAGTGGCAAAAGCACCAGGCATTCATGGCTGAGCTGGCGGCAAACAAGGACTGGCTGGACAAGATTGACCGGGTGAGGAGGGATGGAGGAGACGAGGGGGAGCTGGGGAGGGGCTCCTGTGTCGGGCATCATCATCGCTAGCATTCTGCAGTGTTGTAAGGTTTGCAGACATTATCTCATTAGATGCTCACAACAGCCCTTTGAGGTGGGGCCTACTATTATCCCCATTTTACAGATGGGGAAACTAAGGCCAACAGAAGGTCACAGAGGCCAGATCTGGTCAGGTCTTCCTGACTTGAGGCCCAAGGCTCCATCTGCTGCACCGCCTAGCACTTAGCACAGTGCCTGGTATATAGCACGTGCTCAAGGAATGCTTGTTCATTCTTCTTGGGAAGAGGGGATGTTGGGAAAGTAAGGATGACCCACTGGGGACAGAGACCCAGCTTTGGCCCAGGATCACCGCCACACACTCCTCAGCTGCACCGTTACTGATCTCCCATCCCAAGTGTTTCACCTTCACCCAAAATGCTCAAGGCATTTTACGGTCAGGTCCAAGTTAATGGGTGTTTGGGGGCACACAAGACTAGGAGGACCTTAGTCTAAGTAGGAAGACAAGATGGATCTACCTGAAACAATCTGGGACCAGACAGACGAGGAGGGATTTGGCGGCTGCATCATGCAGGAGTCCAGAGAAGCCAGGTGGGGGTCGGGGTGGGGTTGGCAAGAGAGACTCAGACGGCCTGGGAAGGATCCTTCGAGGAAGGAGCTGAGAGAGGCCCTGAAGGATGGCAGAGAGGTGGATGGGCATGCCAAAGGCAGACACAGACATACTCTCCGTAAGGGTCCTACGACCCGTCCCCTTGGCGCGGCTCTGCTGCGGGTTTAGAAGAGTGCCAGAGAAGGCTGACTGGGCCTGGGGTTAGAGCCCCTAGAGGGAAGTCCAGCTCTGCCACTTTGTCCCCATCTGTCTTCCCCTCTCTGGGCTTGTTTCCCCAGAACACAGCACTAGGCCTGTGTCCCTGGGACTCAAATCTAGGGTGTGGTGGCCTCTAATTCTTTCCCCCTCACCAGGAAGGGCAGGTCCTGAAGTCGGAGAAGCCCGAGCTGAAACCCCTGGTCTGGGAGAAGCTGGAGGCCCTCCACAAGCGATGGGAGGAGCTGGAAAACACCACACAGGCCAAAGCCCGGAGCCTCTTCGATGCCAACCGAGCGGAGCTGTTTTCCCAGAGCTGCTCGGCCCTGGAAAGCTGGCTGGGCACCCTGCAGGCCCAGCTGCACTCGGACGACTATGGCAAGGACCTGACCAGCGTCAACATCCTCCTGAAGAAGCAGCAGGTGCCACCGGGGGCTAGGGCGGGCTGGGCCCAGGGCCAGGGACTGGGAAGGGCTCCCCGAAGGGCCCCGGACTCACAGCCACCCCCCTCGTGGCCCGGCAGATGCTGGAGCGGGAGATGGCCGTCTGGGAAAAGGAGGTGGAGGCCATCCAGACCCAGGCCAAGGCGCTGGCCCAGGAGGAGCACGGGGCCGGGGAGGTGGAGAGGACCTCGCGGGCTGTGGAGGAGAAGTTCCGGGCCCTGTACAAGCCACTGGAGGAGCGCTGCAACCGCCTGCTGGCCTCCCGCGAGCAGCACCAGTTCCATCGTGATGTGGAAGATGAGATTGTGAGTCTTTGGGGGGCCCGGGATGGGGGCACGGCACCAGCAGCTGCCTAGCTTCCCACCATGCAACAGCTGGCCTCAGTTTAGACCGGGCCTCGGGAGGGGGGCTGCCCCCCCCCGGGCCTCAGTGTGCTCAATGACCCCCAGAACCAGCTTCTGCTTTTCTGCCTCTCTCCCTGGAGCCCAGGGAACCCTGCTCCCAGCCCCCCATCCCCTGATGCCGCTGCCTTTCATCCCCTGGGCCTCGGTGTCCTTGGTGACCCCGGAGCCAGCCTCTGCTTGGCTGTCCCTCCCCCTGGAGCCCAGAGAACCCTGCTCCCGCCCCCCATCCCCTGATGCCGCTGCCCTTCCTCCCCCAGCTGTGGGTGACTGAGCGGCTGCCGATGGCCAGCTCCACGGAGCATGGCAAGGACCTGCCCAGTGTCCAGCTGCTCATGAAGAAGAACCAGGCAAGTGCTTTTTCAGCTCCAGAGCCAGCGGCGGGTGGCGGGGGCTGGGCCAGGCTGGCCTGATCCTGGAGGGCAGAGGGAGGTCAGGGCTATCATGGCAGCGTGACTCCTGTCCTTCCTCCCTCTCACAGACATTGCAGAAGGAGGTCCAGGGCCATGAGCCCCGCATCGCAGACCTGAGGGAGCGGCAGCAGGCTCTGGGGGCGGCAGCAGGCCCGGAGCTGGCAGCCCGCGTGGCTGAGCTCCAGGAACTGTGGAGGCGCCTGGGCCAGGAGCTGGAGCAGCGAGGGGCTCGCCTCCGGGACGCGCTCAGGGCTCAGCAGTTCTACCGGGATGCGGCAGAGGCCGAGGCCTGGATGGGGGAGCAGGAGCTGCACATGATGGGCCAAGAGAAGGCCAAGGTGAGAGCCGCGGCCAGGCGGAGGTTGCACCCTGGCCCAGGCTCTTCAATCCCTCACTCGCCATCCATTCCCACCCCCAGGACGAGCTGAGTGCTCAGGCAGAGGTCAAGAAGCACCAGGTCCTAGAACAGGCCCTGGCTGACTACGCTCACACCGTCCACCAGCTGGCGGCCAGCAGCCAGGACATGATTGACGGCCAGCATCCAGAGAGGTGCGTCAGATGGGCGTGCCCCCCTGCCCCGGCTCTGCCCCTCGGCGGCTGTGCGGCCCCAGGCCAGTCCCCTCCCGTTCCTTCCCTAGAACGAGGGGGGGTGTGGAGGATCGCTTCTCACAGAGAGTTTCCTAAGCAGACAAAGGCACCGATCTGAGCTTTCCGAGTCTGCCCCACAGGGTGGGTGGGCAAGGTGCGGGGGTGGGGGGGGGCATGTCCAATGGACGTGCCATTGGAATGTGGCTGGGGCACGGGGAGGCCGAGGGACCAGAGAAGAGCCTTTGGCCGGCCTGGCCTGGCCTACCCTCCACCTCTGGCCTTCCCTCCTCCTCCGTAGTGACCGGCTGACGATCCGCCAAGCCCAGGTGGAGAAGCTGTACGCCAGCCTGAAGGAGCTGGCCGTGGAGAGGCGTGGACGGCTGCTCGAGCACCAGCGGCTGTGCCAGCTGCGGCGGGACCTGGATGACCTGGAGCAGTGGGTCCAGGAGCGGGAGGTGGTGGCCGCTTCCCACGAGCTGGGCCAGGACTATGAGCACGTCACGGTGAGCGGCGGGGGCACGGGGAGCTGGCGTGCCCCGAGGGGCTGGGCAGGCCACAGAGGGCCCCCCTGCTAAGGCCTGTCTCTCCTGGGCCAGATGCTGCGGGACAAGTTCCGAGAGTTCTCCCGAGACACCAGCGCCATTGGTCAGGAGCGGGTGGACAGCGCCAATGCCCTGGCCGACGGGCTGATCGCCGGGGGCCATGCCGCCCGGGCCACGGTGGCCGAGTGGAAGGACGGGCTCAACGAGGCCTGGGCCGACCTCCTGGAGTTACTGGACACCCGGGGCCAGGTCCTGGCGGCTGCCCACGAGCTCCAACGCTTCCTCCACGGGGCGCGGCAGGCCTTGGCGCGGATTCAGCACAAGCAGCAGCAGCTGCCCGACGGGGCCGGCCGCGACCTGAATTCTGCCGAGGCCTTGCAGCGCAGACACTGCGCTTATGAGCACGACATCCAGGCGCTGAGTGCTCAGGTGCGGGCTCCCAGGAGGCAGGGGCGGCCCGTGGCCAGAGGGGGCTGAGGGCAGGGCCTGGCAGACCGGGGCGGCCAACCCTGGGCTCCCCCGAGCCTTCCCTTCCCCCTTCATCTCTGCCGCTGATACCGTGGGACGGGGTTGGGCTGCCACCAGAGACAGAGGGATGGGTGCAAGCGGGGGGTGGGGAGAGACACCCTGACCCTCGCCTTGGGGGCTCTGCAGGTGCAGCAGGTGCAGGACGATGGCCACCGCCTACAGAAGGCCTACGCGGGGGAGAAGGCGGAGGAGATCGGCCGCCACATGCAGGCTGTGGCCGAGGCCTGGGCCCAGTTACAAGCGAGCTCCACTGGACGACGCCAGCTGCTCCTGGACACCGGGGACAAGTTCCGCTTCCTGCAGGCTGTCCGGGAGCTCGTGCTCTGGATGGACGGGGTCAACCTGCAGATGGATGCCCAGGAGCGGCCACGGTGAGCTCCGGGGCTGGCGGGCTGGGCCCGTGCCCAGTTGGTGGCCCTGGGGGCCCAGGACACTTAGTGTCCTGTGCTCCCCAGGGATGTGTCCTCCGCTGACCTGATGATTAAGCACCACCAGGGCATCAAAGCCGAGATCGAGGCCCGAGCCGACCGCTTCTCCTCCTGCATCCGCCTGGGCCAGGAGCTGCTGGCCCAGAACCACTATGCATCCGAGGAGGTGACCGCCGGGGCCTCCCCTCCCCTGCTCTGCAACAGCAGCCTCTGGCTGGAGCTCAGGCGCCAACACTCCCCCAACACGAGTCGGCCCACGTTTCTTAAGCTCTCGCTGTATGACCGGCCCCATGCCGAGCTCTAGGGATGCCAAGAAAAAGCAGCCACGGTCCCTGCCCCACAAAGCTTACGCTCTGCTGGGGGAGATAACAGACCAGTAACCAGGGCCTTAGTATGTAGACGGACGTGACGCGGGAGGGACGGCCTTGGGAGCAGGCGGGTGGGGGTGCCCCGCAGAAGTGGGGTTTGAGCTGATTTCTGAGGCCCCGGGGGCCCGGCTCAGTCATCCCTGTGCCCCCAGATCTCAGAGAAGCTGTCGCAGCTCCAGGCGAGGCGCCAGGAGACGTCCGACAAATGGCAGGAGAAGATGGACTGGCTTCAGCTGGGTGAGTCGTTGTAGGGCCCGAGCCACGAAGCAGGCTCCCCGTAAGCCTGCCGTCCGCTGGCACCGCCCCGTCCTGGAGGCCTCACATGGGCGGCAGGAGGCCTGGGGTCCCCCTCGGGTTACAGGGGAGGAGACTGAGTCCTGGGGGGCCCAAGGTCCCAGAGACAAGATGTGGCAGTCCCCCTGCCTTGTCCCCAGCTCACATGACCCCCCAGCGCCCCCCTTTCTTACAGTTCTGGAAGTGCTGGTGTTTGGCCGAGACGCCGGCGTGGCCGAGGCCTGGCTCTGCAGCCAGGAGCCCTTGGTGCGAAGTGCGGAGCTGGGCTGCACCGTTGATGAGGTGGAGACCCTCATCAAGAGACATGAGGCCTTCCAGAAAGCAGCCGCCTCCTGGGAGGAGCGCTTCAGTGCTCTGGAAAAGCTTACTGCGGTAAGTTGAGAGGGCTCCCCCCCAAGCCCTTTCCCCTGGGCCCCTGGAGGGTCCCCTCAGCCCTTTCCCCTGGGTCCCCTGGAGGGTCCCCCCAGCCCTTTCCCCTGGGTCCCCTTGCCCCCACCTCAGCCCTTTCTGCTGCACCCTCAGATAGAAATGGAGGAGCCTCTTGTGGCCTCCACTCCCTTTTGGGTTGTTTTTTGCTTCCCTGAATGATAATTAAAGACCCCATCTCCTGGTGCCTCTAAAGTCCCTCCTCCTTAGCCAGCGAGTCTCCAGAGGACCAGCGGCTTTTATGCTTTTGGAGCCATCACATTAGAGCCGCGAGTTTCCTCTGCCCACCTTGGTCTTCTGGTGTCAGGGGTCCTCACTCCCTGAACTCTTGGCTCTCTGGCAGCTAGAGGAGAAGGAGGAGCAGCAGAGGCGGCGGCGGGAACAGGAGGAGGAGGAAGAGCGGAGGAAGAAGGAGCTTCCGGCCTCAGTTTCCCCAGCAGCGCCTCCCCACAGGGATCATGTGGATGGCCAGACGGCCCCAGAGGCCTCACAGACTGGGTAAGAGCTGGGATGCTGGCAGGGAGAGGGGACGGGAGCCGGGAGGAGGCCCTTGGGGATAAAGGTCACAGAGGCATCTCTCACCCTCCCAGGACCCAGACCCGGCTGCCATCCTCTGGGGAGCCGGTTGCGGTCAACGGCGTCTGCACCGATACAGAATCCTCCCAGGTAAACCCTTGCACCCTGGTTCAGTGACCCCCTCAGGCCCTTGGCCTTCCTGCCCACGTACCCCCCTGCTGTTGTCTCTGCAGCCCCGGCTGGAGCGACAGAGACTGGACCAGAGCAGCTCCCTAGAAGGGCCCGTGAGTCTGCCCTGCACACGGGGCGCCTGGGGGGAGGAAAGGGGCAGAGAAGCGGGGAGAGTGTGGGAGGGTGTCTCCTGGGCACCCATGAGCTCTAGGCCCGTTGACCTCGCATCTCACCCACAGTGACAGAAATCTGGCCTTTCTCCCTAGGCCCCCGCGACAGGGGAGGCAGCCAATGGACCGCAGGGAGAGAGGCAGAGCCGGACTCGAGGCCCTGCCCCTTTGCCAATGCCCCAGGGCAGAGCATCCGAATCAGCCTATGCTGCCACACTGCCCTCTCGTGGCCCCGAGCTCTCTGCCCAGGAGCAGATGGAGGGCCTGCTCTGCCGAAAGCAGGAGATGGAGGCCTTTGGCAAGAAGGCAGCCAACAGGTACCGGGGCCCGGGGACAGTCGGCCTCAGGGACCCGTGGGATGCTGGGCACAGATGTCCCCAGGGGCCAGGGCCAGGGCCAGGGCCAGTGACATGGGGGGAGGCCTTGACGGATAACGTATGCTAAAAGCAGAGAGTCGGGCGCCCCAGAATCTGAGGCCCTGAAAGCCACTGACCGTCAGCCAGCCTTGCTCGAGGACCTCCACCTGCCGGGGCCTTGCTGCCTCCATGGGCAGCCTCTGGGGTCGGCTCCTGTTTCCTGAGATTGCCTCTCTTGGTGTTCTTCCTCTTCTGGGCCGAGGGGAGCGGGTGGAACGAGTCTCTCTTCCTCATGACGCTCATCCGATGCTCAGACGGTCCTCCCATCCTCAGCTGTGTAGCGTGATCCTCATCCTTGCTGGCCTTCTTAAATGATGACCCCCAGAACCAAAAAGAGCCTTGCCGGGGTGACACGTTCTGAGCAGAGAGACCGGACGAGCGGCTCCTCGGCCCTCCTCTGTGCAGCTGGGGGCGGGGAGCGGTCCTCCTTCGGAGGCCCTCTGCTGCTATTCTGGTCCCCCTTCTTTGGCTGTTAATGCCTCTTGGGAGCTGTGGCCCCTGGACCTGAGTGCGCCACCAAGCCCACCAGCCCCCGGGCTCTTCGTCTCTAAAATGAGGAGATTCCACCACATTCAGGACTCTAAAATCCTCTGGGCCTGGGGCAAGTCAGGAGCAGAGAGGTTTAAAGATGAAAACGGGGATGAGATGGGAGCTGGACCCCAAGAGCGTGCCGCTGGCACGTCCCCGGGCCGGCGTCCTCACCCGAGCACCTCCTGTGCCTCCCAGGTCATGGCAGACCGTGTATTGCGTCCTGCGCCGCAGCACCCTTGGCTTCTACAAGGATGCCCGAGCCGCAAACATCGGGCTGCCCTACCATGGAGAGGTGCCCGTCAGCCTGGCCAGAGCGCAGGGCAGTGTGGCCCTGGACTACCGGAAACGCAAGCATGTCTTCAAGCTGGGGTAGGGCCAACAGCTGGGGTGCAAGGGGGCTCTGGCGAGGGCCAGCGGCTCAGACGGGCAGGGCCGAGGGGATGCTAGGCAGACATCTCTCGGTGGGGAGAACATGGCAGGCTGGGCCTGGTGTGGCCCCAGGAGGCCTTCAGACCTGCCCTCTGCCAGCCTGCTTCCAGAGGTGTCGGGGAGAGGGCAGTCGTGCACCCCAATGCGGCCTGGGCCCTGCCTGCCCGTTGGAGGGGGTGTCCGTGTGGGCAGCGTGGGCTCTTTGCCACGGGAGAGGCCCAGGCCCGCTTCCTCACACGCCACGGTCTCACAGAATCTGAGGAATGTGCAGGAAGGTGCCGGCCTGGTTACCCGCCCAGGGGCTAGGGCTACCCAGGCTGCTTCTCAGCTGATTTCCCCAGCTGAACAGCCGTCCACTGAGACTTTCCTGGCAAATGGCCGGTCAAGGCTCTGCCCTAAGTTTTTCTTCCTCCACAGTTTACAGGATGGAAAGGAGTATTTATTCCAGGCCAAGGACGAGGTGAGCAAAGTCCCTGCCCTCGGCCCCACTGGTTTTTCCCCTCCCATGTTCTGGAATTCCACAGCTTCTGTGATCCCTCTTCTCCCCTTTGCTCTGCCTCTGCCTTCCTTTTCTTGCGTTCTGTGTGTCCCATTTCTTGGTATTTGTCAGCCACTTGCAATGTGCCGCTAGATCGTGTAAAGAACAGTCACAAAAGGGGGCAGCTAGGTGGCGCAGTAGATAGAGCCCTGACCCTGGATTCAGGAGGACCTGAGTTCAAATCCAGCCTCAGACACATAACACTTACTAGCTGTGTGACCCTGGGCAAGTCGCTTAACCCCCATTGTCCAACCAAAAAAAAAAAGAACGGTCACAAAAATGTTTCCTTCTGTGATCTCAATGACGTGGCTGAGTCCCTTCTGCAGTGCAGATTGTGACCCATTCAATTCAATTCACCAGCCATGTATTAAGCACCTGTTACTTGCCAAGCCTGTCCTAGGGACTGAGGACAAAAAAGAATCAGTCCCAGCCCTTCTGCTAAGGGGAAACAACACATACACAGACAAGTAAATGCAGAATACATGGACTGTCAGTGCAAAGTCATTTTGGCTGGAGGACAGGGGAGCATAGCAGCCTTCTTTGTGTGAGAGCCTTGGAGGGAGCTAAGGAGCGAGAGACGGCATGTCTAAAATGGGGACCGGCCAGGCTGGCTGGATTGTGATGGGGCAGATAGTGAGTGAAAGCTAGGACTGTGGAGGGCCTTCAGTGCCCCACAGAGGGCTTTTTATTTTGTCCTAGAGGGAGTGGGCAGCGCTCCAGCCTTGGGGTGGTTTCTCTGGCGGTTCCTAACTCCACTCACCAGGGGGCAGGTAGAGGGTCTGCTCTCTCGACACCTCAGTGCCCCCCTCCACGTGTAAATTCTTTGTGTCGACTGGCCAGGTCAGAGGTGAAACTTCATTTTAATTTCTCTTGTGCGTGATTCACAGCAGACTTTCCTACGGTGGTTAAGTTTGTGATTCTTTTGAAACGTTCCCATCTTCACCACTTAACTCTTGACCTTTGGTCACGTATGGGTGAGAATTCTATTGATCTGGGGATGTGGGACCTTTATCTGGCCTCTGATTAAAGCGACCAGCTAGGCCATGATGGGAAGCCATGTTTCATTAGTGAAAGAACGCCGATGTTTCAGGGGCTGGCCGTGAAGCCCCGAGCCTGCTTCTCCCAGGCCCCACCAATGCTCTTCTGTGTTCTTGGTAGGTTTTTTGGGCCAGCTTTTCTGGTGCAAAGTCAGACTTCAGGGAGGTTTTGCTTTGCAGTTCATTGATTTTTTTGGAGAGGTCGAATATCATTGCAAAGGATTATTTCCAATTTCTGCTTTGTGTCTTTTGCAAATCCTCTGTTGATGCCAGTGGGCCATGAGGATTCTTTGTCAGTTCTGACAGGATGTCTTGATCGCAGGCTTTCTTTAAACATTTGTTGCATTTTCATGGTGTGTTGGGGGTCGTCTCAAAGAATTCAGAGTCAGGCCACTCCAGGTACAGGCATTCACTGGAATGACGCCTCCAACGTGCCGAGTTCCAAGAGGGACCAGCAGCTTAGTAAGACAGCATGGCCAAATTTGTAGTGTAATGATGCTGATTACACAACTGAAATGATGAATATGAAAAAGGCAGGAGGGGCTTGTTAAGGGACAAGGTAAAGGGGAGGGGTCCTAGCCTCAGTGGAACCCACAATGCATGCAGAAAAACCCATGGGAGGGAGGAGAAGGGACGGCAGCTATGTATGATAATGACATTATAATAAGCCTCCTTCTCATAAGTTCACCAAAGGACAGCTTTTGCTGTTACTGAGCAGGCGATTGCCTACTTAGGGAAAGTCCCCTCTATTGTTTTGGGTCCACATCCTGCTCGGGCATCTTGGTGGTGCTGCTTTCTGATTGGCTGGCTGTTGTGGTCCCGTCTGAGACCATATGGGTGTGGTTGAGTGCGTGGACATGCCTGTGACTTCTGGGGTAAATGTGAGTTCATGGACACACCTGTTGTTCTGGTGAGGCGTATATGAGGAAGTCAGGATATTGGAGGAGGGGCAGCAGCTGTATTGAGTCTGGGGGCCTGTGGTGCAGTTAAACCTGGCCGTGCCAGCTGTTCAGCGGGGCCCAGGATGAATGGAATATTGGGGCTGGGGACAGCTTTGTTAGGATTCCACAAGCATCGGAGGCTGCTTCTTCCTCCTGTGTATGTGGCCTTTGGCCCTGCTCAGTGTTCTCACCCAGACCTGCCTCCTCTCCCCCGTCCCACAGGCAGAGATGAGCTCATGGCTCCGGGTGGTGAACGCTGCCATCGCAGCGGCCTCTCCAGCCTCCGCAGAGCCTGAGGAGCCGGTGGTGCCCAGTGCCTCCCGGGGCATGACCCGGGCCATGACCATGCCCCCGGTGTCCCCCGCCAGCGTAGAGGGGCCTGTTGTCACACGCAGCAAAGAGGGCAAGGAACGGGATCGTGAAAAGCGCTTCAGCTTCTTCAAGAAGAACAAATAGGCAGAGGCCGCCCCGCCGGACCGCGGCCCTCGCTCATGGCCAGTGGGCAGCAGCCCCTGGGGACTGGCGCCAGGACAGCTACCTGCTGCTGGGGCCGTTGCCAAGCTGCGCTGCCATGCCCAGGAACTCTGACTGGAGACGCCCCGGGGTCCCACCGTGGCCTGTTCTTCTGCTATTTAATTTCCAGACTGGTGATGGGGCCTAGGCAACCCCCAGCTCATCCTCTTTCCTCCCCCTCATCTGTTTGGCTGCATTCAGGGTCCCCAGACCTCCCCAGCCCCATGGAGCCTGGGACAGTCCCCCCATAACCCTATGCCACTCGGGGCCTCGCCGCCCCACTCTGCCCTGCCTTAGGGCTCTCCTCTCCCAACACAGCTAGGTTCCCTCTGGTTCGGTGTCCCCTAGGAACCAGGCAGGAACGTGTTGGAACTGAAGCCAGGCCTTGGAGACAGGAGCGCCAAGATGGAGCCAGTGATGCTGCCGAGCCCATCCCCCTGCCCTCCTTCCCCTCTCCCCTGGCCCTGAAATGTCGCCCCATGTGCTTCCAGGTGCGGGGCCCCCAGGGGGGTCTCCCGCCACGTTGGCCCGGAGACAATTAAACTGTTCAGCTCTCCTCATGCGTGCCTCTGGCTTCCTGTGTGGTGCGAAGCCCTCCTTCTCCGGCGTTTGTCCCATCTCCAAGTCCATTTGCTAAAACCTCCCCCCAAAGCGCTCGGTGGAGCTCGGTTCTTCCACTGACACAGCCCTTCATGCACCTCCTCACCCCTGCCCCCCACTAGAATACGGCTTAGTCCATGGCGGTACCCAGGAATGACCCCCCCATGCACTCACCTTCCCCTTCCTCCCAGGCTGTTAGAGGTCAGAGGACCCACGCCTGGGGGTCAGCACCAAGGCTGATAAAGGCCCAAGTTCCAGTTCACAGACCACAGGGTGCAGATCCAGCACCCAAGATCCCATCAGGCTGGAAGTAGGCAAAAAGCGCTGGCAGGCTGTCTGATTGCGGGGCCCCAGCGCCTGGCATTTCCCACGGTTGGCAGCTCCTAGAGACTGCAGATTGGTGAGCGACCGTGCAGCAGAGGGGGTCCTCACTAGAAGTGTGAGGGACCTGGAGACCTAGGTAGAAAGATGGGCAGAGCACACAGCATTCATGTGGAAGGCGTGTCTGCACCAGGCCAAATGTAGGCGTGGGGGGAGAATCACAGGTCAGACGGGGCAGGCAGGCACAGGGCTGCCAAGCCTGGCTAGCTCGTCCATCTATCTGAGCACAGGATCTGGCTGAACAGAGAACTAATAAAACACCGCCCACCCCTGGCCGGCCCCCCAGTGACCCGTGGAGGGGCTGTCCCATTGGCACTGCTTGCTGGTCCTGCAAGTGCAGGGCAGGCACCATGAATCGTCCTTACACAGGGACACCTGGCTTCACGTGGGGCCTAGACACTGCCGGTGCTGTTTGCAAGACTCCCTCCTCTCCCATTTACTAAGGTTGTGAGGAGAGAAGGTGGGAGGGTGGTGTGTGTGTATGTGTGTGTGTGTGCGTGTGTGTGTGTATGCGTGTGCATGTGTGTGTGTGTGTGTGTGCAAACACAACCATCTCCCTGAGCGGGTGATAACCTTCATTAAGGGTCCATCCAATCTGAGCAGTCAATGCTGGGAATTGTAGATGAAAAGTAAGAAAAGAGGGTCTGGAAGCATTAAGAAGGCACAGGACAGAGCAAAGGTCAGCTGTGAAAAACGCCAGGTCGAACTGATGAACTTCCCCACAATGAAAGCAAGGACCCCTCACACAGACCAGCAGCTTCTAGCCTAACCCAAAGGCATCTTTTTCTGTTTGCCATGGAAATGATCTCATCGAGCTGCTGTTGGTTAAAGCCAGAATTTTATTTTTAGTTAAAAGGGGGGGAAATAGATGTGTAACTGAGAGGCAGAGGGGGTTAGTGGACAGAACATTGGATTTGAAGTCAGGAAGACTTGGGTTCAAATCATCCTGCCTGAGGATTAGCTCTGTGGCCCTGGGCAAGTTACTTATCCTCTCTCTGACTCGGTTTCCTCATCTGTAAAACACAAACAATACGTATGGTACTTCTCTCACAGGGTTATTGTCGAGCTGAAATGAGGCAATTTTGACCAATGAGCATTTAAGTGTGTGCTACGTGCCAGGCCCTGTGCTAAGCACTAGCGAGACCAAGAAAGGCAAAAGATAGTTCCTCCCCTCAAGGAGCGTATGTTCTTATGGGGAAGAAAAAACGGTAAGTACAAATAAGCTAGCAGATTGCAGAGACAGAAGGGACCTTGGAGGTAGCTAATCCTGGATCTACTCCAGCCCCCTAGTTCCAGGGCACATAGGGGATGAGGGAGGCTGCGGCCTGCCCAAGGTCACACAGGTAGTGTCAGAGGCAGGACTTGAACCCAAGCTGTCCGGTTCCCAAGCCAGTACTCTCTCCACTATGCCACACCCTACTTGAGGAGGCATTCTCCATAAACGGTCATCCAAAGACTTCTTAAAGCCTTCCAGGGGTGGGGAGCTCACCACCTCCTGAGGCAGTGCATTTCACTTGGGGGCAGCTCCTGCGTTAGAGTATCTTCTTACATCAAGTCCAAATCTGCATCTGCCCCTTTGGCCTTTAAGAATCTGAGCCCTTGGGGCAGCTAGGTGGTGCAGTGCATAGAGCACCAGCCTTGGAGTCAGGAGGACCTGAGTTCAAATCCAGCCTCAGGCCTCAAACACTTACTAGCTGTGTGACCCTGGCAAGTCACTTGACCCCCACTGCCTCACCAAAAAAAAAAAAAAGAGAATCTGAGCCCCCAGATTGGATGAAGTCAGTCTGTCCAAGGCCACTGGTCCCCGATTAGACTCAGTCTTTCACAGCAGGAAGGGTAATACATTGCCTGCATAGGCTGGGTGAGGTAAGTGGGGGAGGCAACCTGGCATGAGGGAAAGAGCATGCAGCGCTGGAACCCCAACATGCTCCTGGGTGACCCTGACCCAGGGGCTTCATCCTCTGCTCTCGTCTCTCCATCTGTAAAGAGGGCTGATGATGCTTGGAACACCTCCTTCCCGGGCGTCGTGAGGAAGGTGCACTGTCAGCCACCGGGCTCCAGGAACGTGGCACCATTATTTCGAGGGGGAATGAAGGGCCCAAAGGAGCTGAGTTCTGACGACAGCAGCTGGACGTTTGCAGCAGCGATCACCCGGGGAAGGCCGTAGAGGTGGAGGAGGAAGTAGGCACAGAGGGCGAGGGGCTTGGATAGGAAGGAGGATAGGGGGCACTGGGAGAGGCCTGAGATCACGGCAAAGGGTGGTGAGGAATCGGGTCAGCAGAGGGATGGTGGAGGCTGCTGCCTAGCACGGTCCCAAATCTGCTTGGCATGTCGCAGCAGAGAGGAGGCTTAGAGATCGCCCAGTCTTCAGAGATGGGTCAGAGTCACAATTGGTTCCATTTATGCTGGCAGTAATCTCGTTTGTGCAAGGCAGGCATGCTGGGGCCCCCACAAGTGGATGATGGGGGTCAAGCATTCGAACTCAGATCTTCCTGGCTCAGAGTCTGGTGGCCCATTCCACTTCCAAACAGCTCAGATCCTTAGGAAGTTCTTCCTGACATCCAGCCTAAATTTTCCTCTCCACAGCTTCCACCCATGGTTCTGAGCTCTGCCCCTGGGGCCAAGCAGAACTGAGCCAATCCTTGAGGCCACGGCCACCTGCCCATCCCCACCCCAGTCTTCTCCTCTCCAGGACAAACACACCCAATTCCTTCCCCTGATCTTCAGATGACCTGGGCACAAGACACTTCCTCATCCTGGGCATGATGCCATGCTTCCAGCACTGGTCCAGCTCATCGGGAACCTTCTTAAGCCTTGGCCCGCAGCACCAAGCAGAATATTGCGGAAGGGGTCTCACAGGGGGCCCACTGCCTCCTTATTTCTGGAAGCTTGAGGCCTCCCAAGATCCCGCTGGCTTCCTCCTCTGCCTCCTCACACTGCCTCAAGCATAGTAGGGCCCCACACGACATCTGTTGGCTCGACTTTACCTCGTAGGAGGAGGCTCAGAAGTCAGAGGAGCTGAGTTCAAATCCCATTTCTTAGGTTTATTCCCTACGTGACCTTGGGCACTTAACCTCTTTTGGCCTCGTTTTACCCACAGTGGAGAGGTTTTCAATCTATGTTTCAGTTTTAAGTCTATGCCTTATGACCGTTGTACAGTTGTGTCCAACTCTCTCTCCATGACCCCATTTGGGGTCTTCTTGGCAGAGATACTGGACCAGTTTGCCATTTCCTTCTCCAGCTCATTTGACAGACGAGGAAACTGAGGCAAACGCGGTGAAGTGACTTGCCCAGGGTCACTCAGCTAGAAAATGCCCGAGGCTGCATCTGAACTCTGGTCTTCCAGACTCCAGGCTCTGCACACTATCCACTGTGCCACTGAACAGGGCCGATAGTATTAAGATCATTTATGCCTTTCTCTCTCCCACCTGTAAATAATCGCCTGCAGTGGTTCGCTTCGGCCACCAGGAGGTGCCCTGTACACACCTTCTGCTCTCCACTCTCCAAAGGGCCGAGTTTCGGAAAGTCTGAGGATCCTGGGCATGGGAACTTGGAGGCCACCTCGTCCGGGATTCCTCACTTCTTCTGCGGCGGTCAGCCTGGGGACGCTCTTCTCTGAATCGCGTTTTTAGATGCATAAAATGAAATACAAAGGCTGACAAACAACATCAGTCATACAAAAATAGTGATCAAAATACACGTTAGAAACGAATCCACAACCCTGGGCCCTCGAGGAGCCCCTGCCCTCCATGTGCACAGAAGGATCCGTCAGCCAGTCAACAAAACAAGTCACATGTAAAAGGAGAAAGCCCGGTTCTTGGGTTTTGGAAGCGGAGCCGCCTTGGCCCCGGGTAAGGGAGACAAGGCGGTTCCTGCTCCGTCCAGGGGGGCGGGAGGCGACCACCCCCGTGCGACTGTGACCCCGGGGTCGCCGCAGCCTGGTTAAAGGACAAGGAGCAGGCTGACCGGGAGAGGGCAAGAGGTTTCGTTAGATAAAAGCTCGGGCAGACTCAGGGCGCTTCCTGTGGGCCCACAGCGGGTGGGTGGGGCGTTCTCCGCAGACAAGCCCACCGCAGTACCGGTAAAGAGCCCGGCCCTCCAGGCTGTGCGCAGGCGTGGGGGCCAAAACTCGGCGCCGGGCCATTTAAGTCGGCAAAGCTGAAACTGACCTTGAATTAATTAATTATTTAAGTGGGCGGCGCTTTAACAGGAACGCGTAAGCGCACCGGCGTGAGCCAAGCTTTGCCAGCTTAAAGCTGTGGCAGGGCTTTCGGGACAAGCTCGAACCCGGGCTCGTTGCCGCCCCCGTCCCCCAAAGACCCTCGTCCTCGCTTTCGGCGGGTCCCTGGGACCCCCGCAGCCAGCCCAAGCCCCGGGCTCCCCATATGGATGTTCATTTTGGTCAAGAGATTTCAAATGCACCAGGTACAGCAGTGCCCGGCACGGGGCAGCTGCTTGGCAGAGGCGGGCGTAGACGAATAAAGCGCTTCCGGACTGGGGACAAACAGCAGGCCCTCCTTGGGCTCCTTTGTCACCCCCGCCCGGCCACCAGTGTGGCACGACCCATTGTGAAGAGCGA